GCGGCCCTCATGGCCAGAAGTTCGTGATCTCCTACATCATCGTTTCTTATATTTATTATCGTTATTGTTATATATATATATACAGTATATATTAGGTACACCATACTAATACTGTGTTTAACTCCCTTTCGCCTTCAGAAAAATGTTTTCTGTTTTATCTGTGTGACGCTGTGCGGAGAAACAGAGCTGAGGCTGGGTCCAAACGCAGTGTAGCTTTATTAAAGAAACTTAAAACAAGACACTAGAAGCAAGAAACTTGAGAGCACCAACGCAACACACATAAATTCAACAACCAACAAAGACAGGGCAGAAACACAGGGCTTAAATAATCAATGACAAACGAGCTAGACAAGATAACAAGGGGGCGTGAGAAATGAGAAACACCTGGGATAAATAATGGACGGGCAATAACTAATAACGAAAACACACAAAATCACTACGTGACATAGCCTCCCCCCTATGGGCGGCTCCCGACGCCCATACAAAAAACAAACAGTTCAGGAGGGCGGTGAAGCGGAGACAGTCTTGGGGGAGGGACGGAGGGCCAGGCCCGTGCAGGGGAACAGGACCAGGAGGTAGCCAAGGCGGGCCTGGGCCGCAGAGCATGGGCCTACCAGACTGGGCCGGAGACCAAGGCGGAGCAGGACGTGGCAGAGGCCAGGGCGGAGCAGGACGTGGCAGAGGCCAGGGCGGAGCAGGACGTGGCAGAGGCCAGGGCGGAGCAGGACGTGGCAGAGGCCAGGGCGGAGCAGACACAGGCAAGGTCCATGACAGCCTCGCCTCCATGGCCCCCACAGAGTACCTACTGCCCCCCCCCAAAAAATACTTGGGGAAATTCACGGGAGGAGCCTCTGGGTGGTAAACGGGTTCAGGAAAGGTCTCCCGGAGCTTGAAGGGCGCAGTCAAGGTGATGCGCAGAGGCGGGGCCGGCAGGGCGAGGCGCAGAGGCGGGGCCGGCAGGGCGAGGCGCAGAGGCGGGGCCGGCAGGGCGAGGCGCAGAGGCGGGGCCGGCAGGGCGAGGCGCAGAGGCGGGGCCGGCAGGGCGAGGCGCAGAGGCGGGGCCGGCAGAGCGAGGAGTCTGGGCACGCTCACCGGGGCCTGGCGAACCAAACGAGTCCTCCTTCTCCTCCTCCTGCGGCGGCGCGTCACAGGGCTAGACACACTCGCTGGACTGGACAACTCACTCACTTGAAGAGGAGATGCAGCGCTCACTTGAAGAGGAGATTCAGCGCTCACTTGAAGAGGAGATTCAGCGCTCACTTGAAGAGGAGATTCAGCGCTCACTTGAAGAGGAGATTCAGCGCTCACTTGAAGAGGAGATGCAGCGCTCACTTGAAGAGGAGATGCAGCGCTCACTTGAAGAGGAGATGCAGCGCTCACTTGAAGAGGAGATGCAGCGCTCACTTGAAGAGGAGATTCAGCGCTCACTTGAAGAGGAGATTCAGCGCTCACTTGAAGAGGAGATTCAGCGCTCACTTGAAGAGGAGATTCAGTGCTCACTTGACTCGATTTGGACCTGGACACACTTGACTCACTTGATTTGGACCAGGACACACTTGACTCACTTGATTTGGACCAGGACACACTTGACTCACTTGATTTGGACCTGGACACACTTGACTCACTTGATTTGGACCTGGACACACTTGACTCACTTGACTCGGCCGTTGACTCACTTGACTCGGCCGTTGACTCACTTGACTCGGCCGTTGACTCACTTGACTCGGCCGTTGACTCACTTGACTCGGCCGTTGACTCACTTGACTCGGCCGTTGACTCACTTGACTCGGCCGTTGACTCACTTGACTCGGCCGTTGACTCACTTGACTCGGCTGGCACGCGCTCAGTGGAAAACTCTTGAGGCAGGAATGCAACGGAGCTCACGTGAATCGCGAGTTCGGCTGGGCTGACGTGAAGCGCGGGCTCGGCTGGGCTGACGTGAATCGCGGGCTCGTCAATGCGCACGTGAAGCGCGGGCTCATCGTGACTGACGTGAACCAGCGGTGAAGACGACGAGGGCTTCGCGGGTAAAGTACACTCGGCAGGTGTCGAGTAGAATAAGCGCGCAGTAGTGAAGAGGTCCTGCAAGTAACGAGCCCGAGCGACATACCCGTCAAGAGTCCAGTTGGCAAGGTCCCGCGGCATCCATCGAGCGATCTCATAATCCAGCCCATTCAGAAACAGGCCCATGAGCTGGATATCATCTAGCGCTCCCAGACTGCTAATGGACAGGAACTCCTTCGCGTACCTTTGGACAGACTGGCCCTCTTGCAAGACCGACGACAGGTATTCTGTCATAGCCCGGTTGCTGACGACTGCTGGACCCATATTGAGGTTGGTTGTTCTGTGACGCTGTGCGGAGAAACAGAGCTGAGGCTGGGTCCAAACGCAGTGTAGCTTTATTAAAGAAACTTAAAACAAGACACTAGAAGCAAGAAACTTGAGAGCACCAACGCAACACACATAAATTCAACAACCAACAAAGACAGGGCAGAAACACAGGGCTTAAATAATCAATGACAAACGAGCTAGACAAGATAACAAGGGGGCGTGAGAAATGAGAAACACCTGGGATAAATAATGGACGGGCAATAACTAATAACGAAAACACACAAAATCACTACGTGACAATCTGGTCTGATGAGTCTCGATTTCTATTGAGACATTCAGATAGCAGAGTCAGAATTTGGCATAAACAGAATAAGAACATAGTTCCATCATTCCTTGTTACCACTGTGCAGGCTGCTGGTGGTGGTGTAATGGTGTGGAGGATGTTTTTTCGGCACACTTTAGACCCTTAGTGCCAATTGGGCATCGTTTAAATGCCACGGCCTACCTGAATATGTTTCTCACCATGTCCATCCCTTTATGACCACCATGTACCCATCCTCTGATGGCTACTTCCAGCAGGATAATGCACCATGTCACAAAGCTTCAATCATTTCAAATTGGTTTCTTGAACATGACAATGAGTTCACTGTACTAAAATGGATCTCAACCCAATAGAGCATCTTTGGGATGTAGTGGAACAGGAGCTTTGTGCCCTGGATGTGCATCCCACAAATCTCCATCAACTGCAAGATGCTATCCTATCAATATGGGCCAACATTTCTAAAGAATGCTTTCAGCACCTTGTTGAATCAATGCCATGTAGAATTAAGGCAGTTCCGGCGGTGAAAGGGGGTCAAACACGGTATTAGTATGGTGTTCCTAATAATCATTTAGGTGAGTGTATATGTGTGTGTGTGTGTGTGTGTGTGTTTGTGTACTGTACTTTTATTATTATTTTGATAGGCTCTGCTCTATTGTCTAATGAGAGGCCCTTCAGCATTGCATTAGTCTGAGTGGGCATTCTGACATCATCCCACAATTACAGATATGGACTGAAACTCAGCAGTGGTCTCTGTCTCTGCAGTGTCAGGTAGCTGAGCCAAGAGAAAACCTTGACATTTTGTTCATTCAGTTGATCTGAACCATGGATTATTATGTTTTAGTTTTCATCTTTAAATTAGTGTACTATGCTGTTATTTTCAACAATGGTGTGCACTGCATAGCCAATGTGTTATGTTCTGCATGAAAAATCTATAGGCTATTTAAAAGCATACATTTATTTAAATTATAAAGAATTATTTTAAAAATGATCTGTTGCCATTTTAGAAATTACATGATGTTTTTTTTTTTAAATTTAATGGGTTATATTCCTGCAAAAGCACCTCATGTAAATAACAGAGGCTCCTGTGGAGCAACAACCTTGACATCATAATAATAATCTTCTTTGTGTGCTTAAGAGGGTAGGACTGTGTTTAGCTTTGGTCCCATTAGTAAAAATCGTATGATTTATGCAGTTGCCGGTAGACTAATATCTTTAAAATTTTGCCTGGGACAACGATTCATCTTAAAGAATGATGAGAGGAGGTTGCTCTCTATGCAAAACGCATTAAGGCTAAATGAGGAGTCTATTACTCAAATCTGGCTGATAATCTGTTAGACCTCGCCAACTAAGGAGATTTAGATATGTCACCATGATGATGGGCCCCACCTCCTCAGAACATCACACCAGCCTTATGTTTAAAAAGAAACCTCTAGCTATATTTCCCCTGGACACACATCACTTATCAGCATATCTCTTATCGTACCACAATTAATCTGTTCTTCCACTCCCACACACCCCATGAGGGGTTCATCATGTGCCTGAAACACTCAGGAGACTCATGGCAACCGCCACATGTGTGTGGGAAAAGCCTGTTTATCATTGGGTTAATTAACACGCAGGGGTTTATTCCTCCACCGCACACGTGACTAGCTGTTCAGTGCAGCAGAAATGATCATGTGTCTCACTGCTGCTCTTTTGTCTCAGTCACATAAATTTAATTAATAACAATAAACCCTTGCTGTGTTTACTGGTAATTATACAGACATATGTATACAGTTGGTTCAAAAGACTGAATGTACTAGAGGAAATGCTCACTTTTGTCTAATAATAATAATTATTATTTAAACCTATAGATTATATTATTGCACAAATTTGCTTCTTAAAATCTTAAATAGTATTTCTTCTTAATTTTAACAAATAGCTTTTTGTTTATAATTTTTCAAAATGATGTATTAAAAAAAAAATCTGTGTATTTTCTAGAGGCCTCTTTTCTAGTAAACCTTAAACCTGTTTAAAGAAATGTCTCGACGGTTACAATTATTCTCATCCGTACTCCAGGGGGCGATAAGCGTCACTTGATGCCAGGGGGCGGTAGCGTCACTATTGTTGTTAGACGTTATTAATTTATGAAGAATTTTGATTTAGGAAAGCTCCCTTAAAACTGTTGTTTCCCGAATGAGAGTAGTTAGTTTACCTAAAAGATAAAACGGACGCTAAAAATAAATAAATATACGCGTATGGCCGCTGAGCAAGTTAGCTAAGTTAGCTATATCGTATGCGTTTAAGAAATTGCGTCAGAAGTTAACGCTTAAAGCCTAACGTTAAAGTTACCAAACAAAATACAGATTATGTTTCCATGTTGTGCAGTAACGTTCGTGCTGCAGAAGAAACTTACGGGAGACATGATCTCTATTGAGACGGAGAGTGTTTGGAGGACAAAGAGGTAAGTTAACTTAAGTTGTTAAATTACATTTAGGCCAATTAAACACAGCGAATCACATCTTTATTATGGAAAATACATAAGATAGGATAGAGTGGTGGGGAACCCCCCCCCCCCAATTTAATTTGCACCACAGATGGGGTAAAATGCCCTCATTCTGAAAAAACAAGTTGCTTTATACATTTACAGCTAAATCAGAGTACAAGCAGTTTTAGCTTAAAATTAAAAATACATTAAGTTCATATTTATCAATAAAACATGCTGAAAATCAGCCTATTTTAAAAATATTGTTAGCTGATGCTAGCTCTGGCTAGCTGATGCTAACTTGAGGTAATAATAATAAAAAAAGTACAAATATTTTTGTTCAACCCCATAGTTAATTATATTTGATTGAAAAACAAAAGATGTGATGTTTAACCTAGCCTAGGTTTGAATAATATTTTTTCCTTAAATAACATGTAAGTTACTTACTATTACTATTCTCATCATATCATAATGGCGATGTTTTGCTAAACAACAAGCTTTTCAAAACAACACTTTTTTTTCCTGCTAAAAATTAGATCACTTTCTGTGAAATCTGTTTTCTCTCATGTATAAGCTTCACAGTGAATACTTCTACATCACTCTTGTCAACTCGGTCCGTTGTAACAACAAAACATATCTTGACTTTATCTATTGGTTAGGAAAAACAGTAGGGGGCATTTTACCCCAAGAGAGCGTTTTCCCTCACTTTACCCTATCAGTTTGGTTCTCATTCTGAGAGAAAGCAGCATTTTGTCTGTCCTATGATATTAATTTCGGCTGCTGTCACACTTTATCTTGTTTAAATGGACAGTTTGACATTTCTTGGAAAAATGAATCATAACCTGGGTTGAAGTAGTACAGGGTGGAATTACCACATTTGGAATTACCATATTAATTACTCATCCTCATGCCATTCCAAACCCGAAAGACACATTTGTGTGTTCGAATAGAGATTAATATTTTGTAAACAAATTGGTAAATTATGTTTTTTTTTTTTCGTGCAAAGCAAGCACTCGTGTCACTTAAAAAAACAAATTAAGGTTAAACTTCTTGAGTCACATGGATTACTTTTATGATGTCTTTACAACCTTTCTGGGGCTTGAAAGTGATAGTTGCTTAGGCTGTCATTTTGGGACAGAAAACTCTCAGATTTTATTACAAATATCTTAATTTGTGTTCCCAAGATGAGGGTAATTAATGACAGAATATTCATTTTAGTTTACTTTATACACAAACACACACAGTAGAAATGATTATTATAAAACATTCATAGCATTCTTTTTTTAAGAAGCTGCCAAATGGATTTTTTTGGACGATCCCATACCAGTACTGTCATCACGGGAGTCTCTCAGGTAAGAGCGAGCTTAAGTGGTAGTTGAAAGTGATATCTCGGGTCTTGTATATTGAGGTCAGTATTCATTCGCTCAGAATAGACGTTTAAAGGAGCACTGTCAGAACTTTTTATCCTTATTAAAACGCATGCACACACGCGCACACACCAACAACAATTAAGTGCATCTTAAAATGTTATTTGGCAACTTTAGTAAGGAATCCACAGGAACGGGCATTGAAAGCAATATATTTAAATACGTTTTTTTTGTAATTGTTTTTGCGCAAAACTTTGTTGAAATTTAGTTTTTTTTACCGTCAAAGTGCTTGGCAGGTGACGGAGGTAAAACCGCAGCCTCTCAAACCTATGAAAATGGGCGACCTGTACAAGGCAGATCTTGTTTTGAACGGCCGTTTGTTACTAATTAATGGACTGCGGCCCATTCCTGGCCTGAAGTTAAACATAAGCGGCGTGAATTAAACATGGGCATTCCTCATCTTGGCACTACTTAAACTCTACGAGACAAAACCCAATGGAACGACTGTGACCGCGCCTGCCATCGGGCACTAAATGCATGCCGATGTGCACTTCACTTCACCCCACCCCACTCGTGCATAAATTGCCACCTTCAGCGGCTGCCAATGGCATTAGCACCCAACAAGATCACCTCGACTGACAATAGTTAATCTGCGCTAATGATGCTTTATTCCTCCCATTACATTAAATCATTTCCCTTCACTGCTCAACCTTTCCGTGTGCCAGTGAGATTCCCTCCCTTGCACAATGTCATTTAAATAATAGAAACATGATCTACAAAATATTACCAGCACATTACGTGATCTGAACAGTATTTACCTGACCCCTGGCTGGGAAGAAGCAATCGCACATTAAAGCGCTCGAGCCAACTAGAGATGCTTTTAGGCTTCTCAAGAGGAACATTTTTCTAAACTTTTGTCACTCTTGGGAAAAGTAAAAGTTTTATTGCACTCGAATTTCACACTGTCAGAAAATAGACTACATCCGAGTCTGAGTAATAGAATGAGACTGGTCAGGCCTGCAGCCCTGGGTGTCTTTCATTTAAATGACACTACTCTGAAAGGATAGGCATAAGTACTGCGGAGGGATGGGATTTTCAGCACTGTTGCATCACTTTTAATCGGATAGAGGTGTGTAATTGGTACCGTATAAGCATGAATAAGTTTTAAGAATATTACACCAGAACAGAGAGAGTGTACTCTAATATTGCTTTAAGATAAAGTACACTAATGGGGGAACATTAACTTTTTAATGCTAATTTGTACCACTTGTCTTATTGGGAATTACAAGGGAACTTACTGGGAACTTCTTGTACTACTTTTATCCTGTATTTAATAAAGTTTACTAAAAAGAGTTAGGTGATGAAAACTACCTGAAGGATTTACAGAGGTTTCTTACTGCACTTATTCAGATGAAGTACTGTCTTTTCTTGGTTTGTTTTGCATTATTTTAGTTTACTGTTTTAGCTGATCGTTTAAATAAAATAGAGCCTGGTTAAAAGAAACCAAACGGGTAGAAATAAAGCCGTGCCTTTGCTAATGTCTGCAAAGCTGTTAGTTCTGATGCAGTATTTTCCTTTTATAACTTTAAGTTATATTGTAGTAGATTTTTATTAGATCTCTTTTTGCTTACTGGAGTTATCACAAAAATTAAGCAATTGTTGACATTGTGTGTGTTTTGTTGCATTCTTGAATTTATGTATTCAATTCATTCTCTTTTACTCGACTGTAGAGCCTAAATGAAAAACGTTTCTTTGTGAAAATCACAACCTGAGTAAGCAGGACTTAGCCCTGGTCAACAGCAAAGGCTTCAATCTCATTAGCAGTTGATTAATGAAAGAGAGCGTAACATCATCATATTAAACGTAGCCGCACATTCGCAAAGAGGCAATTTTACAATTGGTCTAGAGTTATGGGTGCATATGTGGAGGGATCAGTTTGAATAAGGCACTGCTCATTCGTTATCTTTAATTGTTCCTGAGGAAGCTTTTAGTCTGGGTGAAATATGATTCTATTAGAAAACGTTGCTTTCCCATTTAGAGCAAACAGACATGAATTATCTCATTTGGACCCTTTTCAGGACTGTGCTGTGTTATATTGTGAGGGTTTAAGAGCCTTACTGTTTCATGCTTCCGTTTGAATAGAAGCGGTTGTTCCCCTGCAGTGGAAATGGAAAGTAAATCTGAAGGACAGAACTGAAATATGTTTTATTTGTGAATTCTGTGAAGTGCAGAAACTCTCAGATTTCTGCATGGTATAAGAAATTGTGCTTCGTAATCTTACATTTCATGAGTTTTGTAGATATGTAGGCAATGTCTGAAAAGTTTTGTGAAAGGGTTGTAGCATTGAAGCATTACTTTTGAATATGTATTTTTTGTAGCTCATGTTTGTAGCTCATGTTGACACAAATGTCACAATTCAATTCGATTTTGGTTCACAAGCTTGCAATTTGATTTCGATTCAATATTGATTATTTTGGATATCAGGTACAATACATGGCAATTTTCAAGGAAAACAAATCTCTTAACTAATGCTGTAAACTATGGGAGTCAGTTGTAGCCTACTAGACTTCTATTTTGAAGGTAAAATGTACTGATTTGTAGCTAAAATTCTTGAAATTTAAGAATCGATTAATATCGAGAAATTGATATTTTTTTAACTTGCCAGTTTCATGTTAGGCCATTTTTTTGTTCCTCTCTCTTCTCGGAGAGAGTGAATTCTTGTATTAAGAACTGAATTTTAGATCTCTGGCATAATTGACACTCATACAACTGCCAGACCGAAAAACAGAGATTTACGAAACTGCATTAATAATAAATCCATCAATTTTCCCTGACTTGTCATTACCCAGTTCTGAATGACATACTGGGCCTAATATTTTATTTTTGCATATCTGAAAGTTGTCCGTGCATGGATTTGATATAATCTGATGGTCTACGCTTTGCCTCAACTCAGCAGTAATAAATATCAAGATATATAAAATGGTCAAGCTCTAATTTCTCTTGATATTTTCTGTGATTTGTATTTTTTTTATCCTCTCTTCCGACAGATGGATTTACTTTGTGCGCCTCAAATGTACTTCACATATACACACACAATTATGTTCAAAGGTGCCATTAAATTTGCTCGACCAGTCATTTGCACTTACCTGTGAGTCAGAGTAGCCCTCATGTAAAAAAATCCTTGTCTCTTCATTCCATTTACCAATATATCAAATGATTTACCCTCAAATGGGACAGTGTTACAGTAACGATTAACCATTAACATTATCGCTTGTAAGACTCTTGACACCCAAGGAGTTAAGTAGCTTTTTGCATGGGTGACATGTGAGTGAAACATAATAAAGGTAATTTACTGCAAGGCAAATTCCATAGCTAAAGGGTTCCCATGTTAAATAGCTCAGTGACCTTTAGCGGCTGATTACATAAAGGAGGCACAATCAGATTAGAGCAGGGAGGGAAAGGTCAAGCGCATTCGCAGTGGTGGCCATTTCGGTCTACCTGGAGAGGCATCGTCTCAGAGCGCCGTCCGAAAAAGCAGCCGTCGGCTGGGGGCGACGAGGTAGTTAGCCTTTGTGCCCCAAGAGCCGTTTACGTAAAGGCCACCATCTGACA